TGGCGTCTATTTCAACAATTTGGGGTGGGGGCCCCCGGGGGGCCCCCTGGGGTCCCTCGCCCCGCAGGGCATTAAGGATAGGGGCGAGGCCCTCCTCGTACGTCTTAATGCGTTTCTGAAGAACGTCAATAGCATCATCTTCCCTGTGCGCCCCTGGGGGGCCCCCCTGGGGGCCCCCTAGCAAGGAGGCAGGAGGAGGTCTATGGGGCCCATAGATAATGCCTGTCTTGGGATCGGTGATGCGGCCCTTAAGCCGCTGCAGAAGGCGCTCTGTTGGGGCTGAGAGCAGCAGCACTGCAGCTGCAGCACAGTGATGCAGACACCCGCACGCACACACGCATACACGCACACTTCTTAATGCCGCTGTTGCTGCTGCTGCTGCTGCTGCTGTCAAGAAGAAGATACACAAGAAGAAGTATACGGAGCAGCCAGCATTGAACAAATACACCTAAATAAAACTCACAGAGGCATTTACTTAGGGGAGCAGCAGCTATAAGGGCTCCAGGGCAGCAAGTAGAGACAAACAACAGCAGAAGAGACAGGAACTTAAAACAGGCAACAGAGGAGGCTAAAATAAAACTGCAACAAGGAGACAGAGGGAAAGAGAAGCAAACTGCACACCTGGCCAGGCCCCCATCTCGTGCAGCAGCGCCACTTGGGCTTCTGTGCGAGGGAACCCATCCAGCAGCAGCAGCTTCGGCAGCACCTGCTGCTGCTGCTGCTGCTGCTGTTGTTGCTGCTGCTGCTGCAGGGGCTTTGCTGCAACAGCAGCAAGCCGGTGCTGCAGCACGGAAGCCACCAGATCGTCGCCAATGAGAAGCCCCTGCTTCATTTGCTGCCTCACCGCACTAAGCACTTCCGCTGGGAAGGGCACAGCAGCAGCAGCATCAGCAGCAGAATCCTCTGCTTCTGCTGCTTGGATAAGGCGCCTCAGCTCATCGCCTGAGCTGAGATGTGCTACTGGCAGCAGCTGCTGCAGCTCTTGAGCTACGGTTCCTTTGCCGCTGCAGGGGGGCCCCATCAGCAGCACCACAGGTATAGGCAAGGGGGCCCCCCCCCCAGCCTCTAAGGGGGCCATTGAAAGGCGGTTTCCTTCTGTTTGAGATGCGCAGGCTGAAGACGAGATACGAGGGCCGTGAATTCTTGGCGCTGCTGCCGTTGTTGTTGCTGCTGCTGCTGCTGCTGTTGCTTCTGCTGACGCGGGGAGGGGCCGTGCGCGCAGAAAGCCTAGAAGGCTTCTGCTGTTGCTGCCGCAGCTGCTGCTGCTACTGAGGGGGATGTGTATGCCTCGCTGTCTGGTGTAGCTGCTCCTGACTGCCCAGCAGAATGGCCCGGTACACTGCAGCAGCAGCAGCAGCAGCAGCAGCAGGAGCAGCGGCGGCAACCAGACAAGTTTGACCCGGCACGTGTTTGTGCTGCACTTCTGGCGCTTCTGGTGCTGCTGCTGTTGTTGTTGTTGCTGCTGCTGCTGTCGAGTGTACAGACACCTGCAGCAGCAGTTCATTGTTCTATAGGTCCCACTCCTCTGCAGATGGGGTGTCTGCGTGTCTGCTTCCTGCTGCCCCAACTACAAAGTAAATACAAGACAAAACAGCAAACTACATTTATTTCTTTCGAGGTGTATGTACACCGCAGCTCAAGAGAGAGAGCAGCACTGCTGCTGCTCCCCCTGTCTTGCCCCTGGTAACGGGGGGCCCTGACGGGCCCCACAGGGGGGGCCCCCTGGGGGGCCCCCAGGGGCCCCTTGCTACTGCAGCGCGACATTGAACATCTTTAGAGATACATATTTTGAAATAAAGAAAATATATAACATATTATTTTGCTATAAATAATAAAAGAAGGGCTAGAGGCTCTACGTACAGTTTCGGCATCCACGTGGGGCCCCACAACAGCTAACAAGGTCGGAAGCAGCAACAGCTGCAGCAGCAGCAGCAGCACGAGCAGCTTATATGCTTTCGTAGATCTTGATAGAGCAGCAAGAAAAGAAGGGGGGCGGGAGCTGGCAGCAGCAGCAGCAGCACAAACAAAGAGATAAACAAGGAAGGAGACAACTTATAAGATTAACGAAGAAGAAAATATAGTAATAAGGAGACACAAAACCATCGAAGTAAAGTGCTATTAACAGACAAATAAACATAGACGCGACCAAACAAATAACAGAGCAAAAGGAGACAAAAAGAAAAGCAAAAGTAATTAATATGGAGAGAAGCAGCAGCAAGAGCAGCAACCCGCTGCTCTGCGACTCAGAAGATGAAACTCCTTGCCCACAGGACAACGAGCAGCAACAGCATCAGCAGAAACACCGGCAGCAGCAGAAGCTTGGGGGACCCCTGAAGAAGAGCCGTATAGACACCCCAGAGGGCTCAAGGGCCACGGGGGCCCTGCGGGTCTCCGCGGCAAACTGCAGCAGCAGCAGCTCTCCAAGTGCTGCTGCTGCTGCTTCCGTCAAACACAACGGTTCAGCAGCAGCAACAGCAGCAGAAGCAGCAGCAGCAACCGCAGCAACAGGACCATCACCAGCAGCAGTTCCAGCTGCAGCAGCAGCAGCAACAGCAGCAGCAGCAGCAGCAGCAGATGGGCGCTTTACTGGTGCAGTTGTGCAGGATGGAGACCTCGTAGTGCTGAGGGACTTCGCAGGAAAAAGAAGTCTGCTTAGGGCGCGGCTAAACGCGTGAGGCCTTTTGCTGCTGTTGCTGTTGCTGCTGCTGCTGCTGTTGCTGCTGATGCTGCAGGTTCTGTTGTCGCAGCTGCCGTTGCTGCTGTTGCAGTGGTTGCTGCTCATGCTGGTGCAGTTATTGTTGCTGCTGCTGCCGTAGCTGTTTCTGTTGCTGCTGCTGCAGGAGTGTTTGTTCTATTTGCTGCTTATGTTGTGCTGCTTGCTCTGCTGCTGCAGGGAGCAGCAGGGGACCCCCTCAGCCTTCTCCTTTAATGAGGGCCTCCTTGTGGGGGCCCCCTATGGCAGCACTTTCTCTTGGGGCGGGCATCGCTGGCTGCGGACGCAGAGACACCCGAGCATCCCTGAGGGTCTCGTCGAGACCCCTACAGAAGAAGTCTCAGGCAAACCCTAAACCCTAAACCCTAAACCCTAAACCCTAAGCCCTCAGGGTAGAATAGCTAAGCCCTCTCCTTCGCACGCGCACAGGCGCCGCGGCCGGGACTTTAAAGGGAATGAGACGCCAAGCCCTAGACCGTGGCATACCAAACCCTAAACCCTAAACCCTAAACCCTTGGTTGTAGCCCTTGCTGCATGCAGGAGACAATCGAGGGATCGTAGACAGCGGCGCAGCGCAGCGGCTGACGGCTGGGGAAATCGAGAGACTGAAAGGAGGTGAGTTTGGCGTCTCTTGTGTTTAAATGTGTCTCTTCCTGTCTCTCTGTGTCTCTGTCTCTGCTTCTCTCTCTGTCTCTGTCTCTGCTTCTGCCTCTGCGTCTGCTTCTGTCTCTGTCTCTGCTTCTGTCTCTCTCGCTAATTCTGTCTCTAATTCTGTCTCTGTCCTTGGCTCCCTCTCTGTCTCTGTCTCTGTCTCTATTCCTGTCTCTGTCTCTTTCTCTCTCTGTCTCTGCCTCTGTCTCCCTCTCTCTCTTTCTCTCCTCAGCTGAGCTTTAGGGTTCAGGGTTTAGGGTTTAGGGTTTAGGGTTTGGTGTTGCGCCGCAGCCGCCTCAGCAGCAGAAGTAATACGAGAAGTGGCGGCTAACAGCGCCACCTTTGAGCAGCGGACAGCATTTTCAAAGCAGAAGTATATTATTAAAAAGGCAAAAAGGCAAGCAGCAGCAGCAGCAGCAGCAGCAGTAACAGCAGCAGCAGCAGCAGCTGTGTGTGCGTCTTATTAGGTACATAAAGCAATATACGGTGCTGGAGGCCTCTTTAAACGAATTGGCGCACTTCTACTTCGAGTCAAACCCCACAAAAGTCATGTCCGTCAGCAACTGCAGTTGCTGCTGCTGCTGTTGTTGTTGCTGCTGCTGTTGTTGTTGCTGCTGCTGTTGTTGTTTCTGTATGATGCATGCATAGATGCACGAAGTGCACAGAGACGTTTTGGGGCTGTGCGTAGGCCCTTATATGATGTTTGTATTTCTCTTCAATCATCATATATATATATTATAAGTAAATATATGTATATATATATATATATTATATACATGTATAATTATTTATATATCTAAGTATATATATGTTAGTATGTGGTTAGTACTAATCCATTTGTACATTATTATGAATAATAATTAAGAGGCTGTATGCACGCATGCAAATGCAGTTAAGGTCTGCATGCCTGATCTTCCTATGCTACTGCTATTGCTGCTGTTGCTGCTGCTGTTGCTGCAGCGGGCTGCGAAGAGACTACCTGAGCTGTCTGCTGCATCGGCTGTCTCTCGCCCCTGGACAGCGAGTGATGGTCTTAGACCATGCTTTGGGCCTCCCAACTGCAGGGACCCTCTTACGCGTAGGCGGTGAGAAGAGACAGACACTGAAATAAGCATAAAAAGGAGACAGTTGGAGACACAGAGGCAGAGATAAACAAAGAAAGGAGGCACCTGAAGAGACAGAGACAGAAGCAAAGACAAAAAACGAATGGAGACACTTGGAGAGACAGAGAGACAGACAGACACGGAAGGAGACACTTGGAGAGACAGAGACAGAGAGACAGAGAGAGGCAGAAACAGACACAAAAGGAGACACTTGGAGAGACAGAGACAGACACAGACACAGAGAGAAACAGAGCCAGAGACGGAGGGAGAGACAGGCACAAAAGGGGACACTTGAAGAAACAGAGACAAAGGATGAGACAGTCAAAAGAGCCAGACACACTCAATAAGCGAGAGACGAATGGAGACAGTTTGAGAGACGGGAGAAAGAAAATAATAAAGACGCAAAAGGAGACAATACGAGGGACAGAAGGAGAGACAAACAGCGAGGCACAAATAAGAAGCAAAGAGACAAACAGGAAGAGATACACAGCGACACACAGAAAGAGACAGAGGGAGACAGACTACAACCACTCAGACAATTTGTAACTGCAAGAAGTGTCTCCTTGGCCATATTTGTCTTGTGCTTTGTCTCCTTTGTCTCCTTGCTCGCCCCTGTCTCCCTCCGCTCTCTCCTTCGTCTCTAATGTTTGCTCTGTCTCCCTTCTCTCTCTTGCTTCTGTCTCCTCTTTTGTCTGTCTCCTGTGT